CGCCGCCTCTGATTGGTCCTGTGGAGGGGGGGGCGCGATGAGGGGGCGGGGCGCCTCCTCCGCGGCCAGGTGAGAGCGCGCTCGTGCGCGTCCGCGCTCCAGGCGGCGGGGGAGGGGCGCGCGCTGCGGACGCCGGCCCCGCCCCCTCTCCTGCGAGTCGGCCAAGTGGGCGTTGGGGCGCCGAGGGACCCTCGAACCCCGAGACGGCGGGACTTCGGCTCAGGGTCACCTCGGACGAACAGAAAAGGAAGGGCAGCGAGGGAAAGGCAGGCGGGGTCTCGCAGAGTCGCCACCGGCGGGGACTCGAACCTGAGCTCGGGAGGCCAGCAACGAGCCGGCCGCCGGACCTCTGACCGTAGCACGCCCCCCGGGTGACGAGCGCCCCGTAAGGCTGCAAGCCGGAGCCTCTGAGGCGGGCGCAGGGGGCCCCGTCTACATCAGCAGACCATGCCATGGGCCCCGCGCCCACCGCAGCCTGAGCCACTCCGGTCTTCCGGGGCACAACACACAGGTCCGCGCCCCGAGGGCCCGTGCCCACCTGCGTCGGTGTCCTCGGAGATCCCGCTGGAACGTCCCAGGGCAGGCTCCAGTCTGTATCTGCAGGGTCCAGGTCTGCCCTTAGAACGCTGTCTCCCGTGTCACTTCGGCCTCCAGCCTGGGAGCCGGAGTGACAGCCGCCAGGGCAGACCCTCAGCAGAGGCTGCCGGGTGGGCAGGCACCCTTGCTGAGAGCTCCACGTTGTGCCATTCGCCTGCACTCTGACAGATGAGACACAGCGGCTGATGAGCTGCACCGGACTTAGACTTCCATGAGCTTCCAGAAACATGGAGACGGGTGGGTGACCCCAGACGCAGAAGGGGTAGATCACCTTGGGAAGTACCCAGCCCCTGGAGAGGGCGGCAGATGCTGGTCAAGGACGGTGTGTGTAGCCTGTCTGGTTCCCTGGGTGGCGGGAGGCTGCTGCTAAGTGGGGGCAGAGAGAGGGAGGAGGCCAGAGTTACACCAGCCCCCTTCGTGGGCAGCCACGCCTGTGCTTAAGAGGCCACGGGGGTTAGTGATGGAGAGCGTGGACTTTCCAGTTGAACAGACTTGCTTCGACACCGCGCCTGACACACCCTCGCTGTGTGATCTTAGGCAAGCACATCGCTGTCATAGGATATGGTAAGATAATAGTACCTCTCTGGGGGAGCTCAGGTGTGATGTATGAAATGTTTGTGGCATGTGCCAGCTGCCCTGTGAATTCTGCAGTTACGTTATCGTTAGCAAGCAGGTTCAGTGTATGAATGTCCCCAGGGTTTTAAGACTTAATTCATGTGGACCATGAATGGCCAGTGACACATCCTTTCTGGGAGCAGGGTTTGGAGAGAAGAGGAAGTTTTGGAAATGAGTGATTCTAGATTAGATTTCAAGAGACCTGGGCCCCAATTCCAGCTCTGCTCCACTTCCTGTAAGGTCTCGGGCAGCTTGGCCGCTTCTCTGGGCCTTGCATTCCCCATCTGAAGCAGAAATGGGGTTGGAGTCTGTCGTCTCTGGGGACTTCCAGCCTTGTCCAACTCAGGTACTGTCCATGAGTTGTGAAGGGATAGACGTTGACTCACTTGTGCTCAACGAAAGACAGGTCCAGAGAAATGTCACCCACTCTCCTAAGAGGTCTTACTTTTTTTTAAAAAAAAAAAAATGTATTTTGGGGACTGGAGATATGGTTCAGTGGTCAAGAGCACTGAATGTCTTTCGAGAGAACCCAGATTTGATCTCCAGCACCCACATGGTGGCCCACAACTGTCTGTAACTCCAGTTCCAGGGAATTTACACCCTCTTCTATCCTCTTCAGGTGGGTACACACACACGTGGTACCCAGACATATATGCAAGCAAAACACATCATATACATAAAATAAAAACAAATCTAAAGTTTTGTTTTATTTATGTATATGGTCTGTGTAGGTTTATACATACACGCATTTGAAGGCTTCTGATGTCTGGAGCTGAAGTGACAGGTGGTTATGAGCTGCCTAACTTGAGTGCTAGGAACATTCTTGGCCTCTAGGAAAGCAGCAAGTACTCTTCTGAGCCATCTCTCAAGCCCCTCACTCTTACCTGCAGGGCCCATGGGCACAGAATGGCCTTTGGCCTCTGCAGTGACGCCTCCTGTATCTTCCAGGCAGTATTTACCAAGCCAGACTGGCCAGTAGCTCCTCTCCATCCCTCAGGTCACAGGTCACACTAGACAACAGACCCCATCTCCTTGTACCTCAACAAAGATGTTTATAATTGCCCCCCCCACAGGCTTTAACTCCCTCCAAGCCCCAACCATTTCCAACAGCTCCTGGAACACAGGCACAGAAATTCACCACGAACCCCTCAGTCTCTCCCATCATCTACACCAGAGTTCTACCAGAATCGCACTGATGGGAAAATGCAGGCATTATGGTTATACATTCGTATAATGAATTTCTGGAAGGGTTCCACAAAGCACTAATACAGGACACGTGCAGGTGGGGACGGGACCTGGGTGCCCCAGGGACAGATACAAGTCACAGTAAGACTTTGCACTATTAGGTGTTGTTCTGTTGTGTGTTTTGTTTTGAAGGATATTTACAGCCCCCTTTGCAGCCGCTCCTCCGCTCCGCGGGATTGTATTCCAGTGAGCGTGTCTACGTGGAAAGCGGCGTTTGTGGGAGATGCAGTTACCCCTGTGGCCTGTCATCTTCCAGTCATCCACAGGACACTAGCGCCATTTCCTGAGGTGATCCCACAGTGGACAGGAGTTACGACTCCCGCTGCCCAGAATCACCGTGGCGTATTGAACTGAACACTAATAGTCCACAAAAAGATCAAAGTTCAAAATGTGAAATATGGTTTCGACTGAAGTCGCATCCCACCATAAAGTAAAAAAAAAATTCTGCAGAATTTTACCTACACACTGTAAGGTGTGGCTCTCTGTATACTTTTCCTGCTCAGTTTCCTCTAAGTATCATTATTATTCTTACTGTGGGAGTGTATAGAGGGAATGTGTATGTGTACATGTTTGTGTGTGTGCACATGGTATGCATGCATGTGAAATCCAGTCGTGGAGGCTGGGTGTTAACCTCAGTTGCTCTCCATCTTATTGTTTCTAATTATTTAAACATTTTATTTTATGTACATGGGCGTTTTGTTTGCATGTATGTCTGTGCACCACGTGTGTGCCTGTGCCTGTGGAGGCTGGAAGACAGCGTAAGACCCCCTGGTACTGGAGTTCCAGGTGGTTGTGAGCCATCACTTGGGTGCTGGGAATCGAACCCAGGTGCTCTTAATCCTGAGCAGTCTCCTCGCTCTTCTACCTTATTTTTTGAGACAAGGCCTCTCACTGACTCTGGAGCTCACTGATCTTGATAGACTAGCTGGCCATCAAGGATCTGCCTGTCTCTTTCTCCCCAACACTGGGATTGCAGGTGTGTGGACTGTGCCAGTTTTTTACATGGGTGCTGGGATCCAGATTCAGTCCTGGTGCTTACAGGGTGTGGTGGTTTGAATGTAATTGACGCCCATAACCCCATGGGGAGTGGCACTATCAGGAGGTGTGGCTTTGTTGGAGTGGGTGTGGCCTTGGAGGAAGTGCGTCACTGTGGAGGCGGGCTTTGAGGTCTCATATGCTCAAGCCAGACTCAGTGAGATAAACCACTTCCTGTTGCCTTCTGATCAAGATGTAGCCAGCACTGTGTCTGCCTGCATGCTGTCATAATCCCAGCCACCCTGCTCCCCACCATGATGATAATAGACTAAACCTCTGAAACTGTAGGCTGCCACCTCAATTAAATGTTTTTCCCTAGAAGAGTTGCCATGGTCATGGTGTCTCTTCATGGCAATAGAGACCCTGACTAAGACACAAGGCAAGCACTTTATGCGCTGAGTCATTCCCCAGCCCCTCTTTACTTGTTAATGCCTAATAATTAACTGTGGCACATCTGTTACTACTGAGGAACCCATATCACAATCCTACTGTTAATTTACAGCATTTTTCCAGGTTTCTAGTTTGGGTTTTTTTTTTTTTGTTTTTGTTTTATTTTGTTTTGTTTTGAGGCATGTTTTTTCTATGTACCCCTGGCTGCCCTGGAACTCCCTCTGATCTCAGACTGGCCTTGAACTCAGAGATCCACCTGCCTCTGCCTCCCCAGTGTTGGGATTAAAGGCTTGTGCCACCACCTCCCCATCCAGGTTTCTGGTTTTACCTAATGACCTGTGTTCTAGGATACCACTTTCTGTTTAGTCAGCATGTTCTTTAGGTGCTGTGATAGTTTCTCAGAATTTTCCTTGTTTTTGATGACTTTAATGGTTTTGAGAAGTACTGATCTAATGTTCTGTTCTTGTTAGCTTTCTATTACTGCGATAAAAACCATGACCAAAAGCAACTTGGGAGGCAAGGGTTTATTTCTGCTTAAAACTTGTAGTCCATCATGAAGGGAAGCGAAATCAGGTGCTCAAGCAGGACCCTGGAGGCAGGAGCTGAAGCAGAGACCACGGAGGAGTGAGCTGCTCACTGGCTAGCTCCCCAAGGCTTGCTCAGCTTTCTTATACAACCCAGGACCGCCTGCCCAGGGTAGGGACCACCCACAGTGGGCCGGGCCCTCCCACATCAATTGTTAATCAAGAAAAGGTCCACAGGCCAACCTGATGGTGTTTTCTTAGTTGAGGCTTGTTCTTCCCAGATGACCCCAGCTTGTATCAAGTTAACAAAAAACTAACCCACACACATTCTCTGGAAGGCTCCTTGTTGAGATGTCTTTCTCATGCTTAGGCTGAAGTTAGGGGTTCATTTCAAAGGAAGATCCCAGAGGTGGATGCCACTCTCATGACATCATAGCAGGACAAAATACTGCCACCAAAACTTATCCTTGATTGTGCTGTTATCAGTTGGTTGCTATGACATTTTGTTTGAATTTTGAGTCCAATAAATACATTTTGTTTGTTGAGTCAAACTATATATTAAAATAAACATTAAAAAATTTTAAGACATGTATAGTTTACTGTGGTTACCATGGGAAAATACCACATACAGAGTAGACTAGCTTAGGCGACAGAAATAGTTTTAGAGGCTGCAAGTCCAAGATCAAATTTAAAAGATGAAACCCAAGGCAGGGTGGGATCTCCCCTGCGGTCTGCAGACAGCTGACACTTGCATCCTCTAGAGTATCCTGTGTGTTGACATCTCTGTTACTCCGTTTTGTTTTGTTTTTTTTTTTTGTTGTTGTTTTTTTGTTTGTTTGTTTTGGTTTTTCGAGACAGGGTTTCTCTGTGTAGCTTTGCACCTTTCCTAGAACTCACTCTGTAGCCCAGGCTGGCCTCGAACTCACAGAGATCCGCCTGCCTCTGCCTCCCAAGTGCTGGGATTACAGGCGTGTGCCACCACCGCCCAGCTATGTTACTCCGGTTTTTATAGATGCCAGTCATAACTGGATTGGAGCCCATCCACAGAACCTTATTTAACCATAATTTCCTCCCAAGCGTTCTGTCTGAAGTCACGGTCATGTTCTGAGGTGCATTAAGGTTAGAACCTCCGTATCTGACTTGGGGTCAGGCACGGTTAAACCCGTAAGACCTCTCAGCACAACTTTAATTTACCTCTTCATGTTCATCTCCCATGCCCTCAGCAGCCCGTACCTAGATATCCCAAGCCCTAACCCTTCCCTTCCCCAAGGAGACAGGCCTCCCTCTGTGTGGATAGCGTTGGCCATGTCTCCATTCTGTTCACATTGTAAATCCTCTTCCTTTGCCCTTTCCCCGGATATTCCGGGGAGAAACCTCACTGACATCTCCCAGACTGCCAACCCCAAGATCACCCATCATAACCTGCTACCCTAGACCTGTCAATGTCTCTGGCTCTCCCAGGGGCCAGCAAGCCAATTCAGTTAACAAGTTGCCTATGAGCTAGGCCCAAGTGCCCCAATCTCACACAAAATAGATAAGGTCCTGTCCTCACAGAGTTTGTATTCCTGTCAGGGGGGAAGATGTTAGATGCTGCAAGTGTGCTTTAAAATGATACAACCAGATCCTGTGGCGGAGACGGCTGCTCTGCCAGTAGAACTGAGCATTTGAGTTGGTACCTTGTGGCATTCCAGTTGAAGAGGAGGGGAGGTGGGGAAGGAAGGTGCTGGTGGGGTGTACTTAGTTCCGGGGGGCTCTGCGAAGGGAACATGGTGAGCTCAGGTGGGAGCCTGTGTCCTGTGGCCAGTCTGGATACGTTCTCATATGTCTCCAGATGAGTGCAATGGCCTGTATGTTTTTAACACCCGGTGGCCACTTAGGAAGCTGGCTGGCCTGCTTCAAGAGTGGAGGTCTTAGAAGTACTGACCTAGAGAGAGTGGAGATGGGGAACGGGGTTCTGTTTGGGGTGTAGTTTGGATGATGGGACTTGGGAAAAGAAAGGGGCAAGATGGCCCCTAAGCCTCTGCAGTGCTGGGGACTGGGGTCTGGGCTTAGCAGATGCTGGGAGGTAGGTTCAGTGCTGGAGTCGGCTTTGATACTTTCCAGGATTGTCTTCGTGGGCCTGCTCCCAAGCCTAAAGTCCGATCCTTACCTCATCCAGGAGCCAGCCTGGGTACTGCCCCCTACAACCGCTTCACACCCCACTTCCTACCCTTTCCCCCAATCCTTCCCTCTCAGCACTCACCTCTGACTTCCAGCCTCCCTGTGCCAGAAGTGGGCTTCTAAGCAGGAACCAAACCCAGCGCCCTAAGTGAAGCCTAAGTGTCTACCACAGACCTTGAGACGGGGTAGGAGGGGCTTGGGATCATAGCTCTTAAAACCCTGGGGACCGGGACCCAGTCTCCTCCGCCCTCAAGGGCAGTCAGTCCGGCCACCTCACCAGCACCAAGTCTGTTACTGCTGTCAGTCGGAGTGTGATGGGGGCAGAGGGACCAAGGAAACAGAGGCTCACCTTCCGCCACCCTGGCTTCCAGGGCGTGAACCAAACTTCTTCCACCTCCATGTGGGCATGAAGAGTTTGAATTAAGGAAGTCAGGAAAGTCGGTACTTGTAAATCTGGCCAAGAACCATAGTTGGGAGTCGGCAGGCCCCAGGAGTGAATCAACTACTACTGTTCCACTAAATGGACTCTCCTGGTTGTTTTTGTTTGTTTGTTGCCTTTTTGCCTTTTCAACTTGACGCATGTTAAACTCATCTGAGAAAAGGAACCAGAGTTGGTTCCTCCTGATAGAGAAAATGTCTTCATCCAATTTCCTATAGGCAGGTCTGTAATGTGTTTTCTTGATTGATGATTGATGTAGATGGGCCCAGCCCACAGGGAGGGTGTCATTCCTGGGCAGGTAGTCCGGAGTTGTATAAGAAATCAGGCTGGGCAAGTCAGTGAGCAGTGTTTCTCCATGGCCACTTCTTCAGTTCTCGCCTCCAGGTTCCTGCCCCCGACTTCCTTCAGTGAGGGACTGAGATGCAGAACTGTAGGCCCAAATAAACCCTTCCCTCATGTTACTTTTAGTTGTGGTGTTTTATCACAGCAACAGAAACCCTAATGAAGACGTGGACATAGTATCAAGCTGGCCTCTAAATTTGTATCTCATAGATTAGTATAGATCTGAGACCTCATCAGAGACGCTTCTTTGAGCAGTAGAGAGGTTAGTGAAGAAATTCACCACTGATTAAAGAGCAGAGAACGTCAGTGGAGTGCTCAGTTACAAATAGAACATCTGTATCGCATACCCACACCACACCACACACACACACACACACACACACACACACACACACACACACACGGCTCAGTGGCCATCTTGGACGAGCCAGAGGTTGGGATGAGAAAGTGTCTTCTGGCCACACAGGACCACTGTACCCATGAACTCACAGCAGCTCTAGCTGCCTGCACAGGACCTACACAAGATCAAGTCAACACTGCGAGGTGCTGTGAGCAGTTGATGGCTTCTGTGAGAGACAGTCAGTTTTCTTTAGAGGTGTAGCCCCTGGGGTACAGGCTCCTACGCCGCTGGGTGACCCTACACACCCGTGAGCGTGGACAGCACAGATGGGGCTCACTGGGTTATTACAAACACGTATACAGAGAACACAAAGTTGGCAAGGGCCGGTGAGGTAGGGGGAGAGCTGGGAGGATTTGGGGGAGGAGTGGGGAGTGACTGTAATCAAACACATTGTGTAAAGTTCTCAAATGATTACTGAAAACAACATTGTAAATGGACAGAAAAGTTGGCATTACCAGGTGACCATCTTGACTGTTCTGTACGGTCTCTGCTCATGTATCCAGTGCAGGCTCCCGGCTCCCACACAGAGGCGGTCTGTGGTGATGTTCTGTTTGTGCTCTAACAAATGAAGCCTGCTTGGAGAGCAGAGTGCGGAGCTGGCCACTAGTTAACCACACAGGTCCGGCAGTGGTGGCACTCACCTTTAATCCCAGCACTTGACAGAAGCTCACTCCCCTTCAGCCTGAGGAGATGGCGAGGTAAGAGGTGGCTGTGGCTTGCTCCTTTTGTCTCTTTGATCTCTCAGCATTTACCCTGATATCTGGCTCCAGGTGTTTATTATTAAGACCAGTTAGGATTCCTGCTACAGCAGTCACTAACAAACAGCATAGCAAACTGCTGTCTCCACCAGAAAGCAACAAACAAACAAAAAACACTGTTGAAAAACTGCAAGCCCTACTAGAACTGAGTGTCAGCAGGGTATTCCTGCCAGGAGATGGCACACAAGGCTCTAGACTCCAGACAGGTTCCTGTGCCTGCAAGCGGGCCTTCTGATGCTGTCCCTCTGGGATGAGGGATGAAGTCTGAATGCCTAGGCCCACAAGTGTTCGCCAGTCTCTCCTCATATCTGCAAAGCCTGGGGCGGATAGCATGGGGCCCAGTTATTCTCCGGAGCCCGGAAGGCTCTGCCTCTCATTGAGGGCTGCAGAGCAGATTCCTACTTGGAAGAGGGAAGGCTCGAACCTGCAGCCCAGGACTGGTTCAGTCCTCCACGCCTGCCCCTCCCCCTGCCATTGAACAGGTTGGGCATGCCTAGGGGCCAACAGTGCATTCAGAGGGCTACTGTGAGCTAAGCTATTATTCCCCCACCTCTTAGCCTCTGCAGGCCCCTGTGGGACTCAGGGGCCAGAGCTGGGCCTGGACACTGCATTCACTAGTTCCTTCCTTGGTTTATTTTGACCTCTTCTGAGCCCTGGTGTTAGATCCCATCATCTAAAGGTGGCAGTCCCTGCCTCAGGGACCTTTCCATCAGGGGCTGTGCCCTACAGTTATGTGAGGCAGTCTAGCCTTCTCCTCCACGACCACCTCTATTCCAGGTTTTTCCTAACATTTTTTTTTTCTACCTTCACTAACCACCCACCCCCTTCCCCAAGCTCTCAGCTTGTGCCAGGAGCCTCTGGTTTCCGGTGTTGTTAATGGTGGTGCTGTCTCATCGGTCAGGGTCCCCGTGGGAAACAGATGGCTTCCTGAAAAACGAGGGAAATTCCGGGAGTGCTATTTACAAAGGAGAGGCTTATAGAAAGGGTGAGAGTGGGGGTCAAGAAAGAGGACAGGGATCCTGGCCCTGCTTTGACAAGATCGTTTCCATTCCCTAGAGCTGGGGGGACAAGGGCTGAGGTCTCCAGAGAATGAGAGGGGAGTCATGAAGAAAAGGTTAAGCCTGAGGGAAAGGACATTTGCTCCAACATCACGGACCTGCTGAGGTGATCCCACTGGGAGAAGGCAGGCTGATTTTCTGACCTCACCCTTCAGCCCTGCTCTGGCCTCCCACTGGGACCCCCGAGTGGATCCTCCTGCAGGCTTTGGAGGTCAGCACCCTGAGGATGCAGTCCAGCAGAAGGATGGAGGCAATTGGGACCTCTGTGTGTTTTGTCCTTTGTGAGACCCCAAGGCAGTCTTTTTGCCTCATAAGTGTGGTGATATATTGTGTACCCTAATAAAATTTGCCTGAAGATCAGAGAACAGAACAAGCCACTAGATTAAACATAGAGGCCAGGCAGTGATGGCATACATCGTTAATCCTACCACTCTAGCGGCAGAGATCCATGTGGATCTCTGTGAGTTCAAAGCCACCCTGGACTACATGAGATTGACTCAGTCTAGGAGAGAAAGAGAGCCAGGCAGTGGTGGCACACACCTTTAATCCCAGCACTTGAGATCTCATGCCTTTGCTTGGGAAGCACACATGCCTTTAATCCCAGGAAGTGACTGCTGGGCGAATTAAGGTATATAAGGTGTGAGGAGACAAAAACTAGAGGCTTTTCAGGCTGAGGAGACCCAGAGGTAAGAGGTAGTTTGTTCCTTTGTCTCTCTGATCTTTCAGCATTTATACATAAGGGCAATTGTGCTCCTAGCAAGGCTCAAAGATGTATGGCCCCCTTTGCTTAGCCCACTGCATGGCCTATGCCGGCCACAGGGCATTCTGTCACAAGGTAGCCACACACACACATCTGTGGCAGTCTTGCCTCAGTGCCCCACACCCCTCAAGCCAGACTGCCCGATTCCCTCAAACGGCCCCAGTCCAGTGGTCTGGGCTTTCCCTGAGTGTGCCTAACTGAAACTGGGCTGTGAGACTTTCTGTTATGTGACAGAATACCTCAGGAAAGCAAACTTAAAGCAGCCATTTATTGTTTTTAATTGAATTTACTTATTCAAATGCGTATGGTATTCAATATGTAGGTCAGGCTGACCTTTACCTCTTGGAGATCAACCTGCCTCTCTGCCTCTTGAGCATTGGGATTAAAGACATGCGCCACCACACCCGGCCCAGTCATCTGTTTTGATGAACAGTTTCGGAGTCTCAGTTCACAGTCACTTAGCCTAGCTTCCAGGCCTGTGCTAAGGCAATGAACACATCACAGGAGGGCTTCGTGGAGGGAGGGAGGCATTGGGGAAGGAGCAGGCTGAGGCCCAGGCAGGAACACACCGCTATGCCCTCCATCCTCCAAGTAGACCCAGTCTTCTAATGCTTCTACCGTCTCCCGCTATCGCCAGCAGTTGAAGACAAAGCCCTCACCACACGAGTCTCCAAGGGACTTTCCAGATCCAAACACAGCACTACAGCCATCAAGACCCACGTCCAGGTATACTCAGCATCCCCTCCTGCAGAGACTGAATATTTGCATCCCCTCAAAAGTTGTGTGTTGAAGTCCGACCCCCACAGCAGCATTGTAGTGAGGCTTTAATGAGGGTTAGCTTGTCAGCTTCAGGGGAGGTGGAAACACTGTCCTTAAAGAGAGCCTGGAGAGAGGCCAAGAACTCCTGGGTGGCGTGAGGATGCAGAGAAAACTGGTGGTCTACAGACTAGAAAGGAGGCCCTTGCCAGACACTCACCCACAGGCACTTTGATATTAAACTTCCCAGAATGCAGAGTTGAGAGAGTAAGTCTCTGCTGTGATTAAGGTACCAGGTTATGGTACATGTTTTCATTGTTTGGCATTTTATGAAACAGGGTCTTGCTTTATAGCCCTAGATAGACTGAAATTTGCTATTTAGACCAGACTGGACTTGGACTCATGGAAATCCTCCAGCTTCCGCCTCCTGAGTGCTAGGATTATAGGCATGCACTACCACATCTGGCCATTGGTTTTGTTTTTGAGACACGCTGTCATGTAATCCAGGCTAGATGTGATCTCCCAATTTCCTATTTCTACCTCCCAGATACTAGAGTATTAGAGATATGTGCCACCATACCTGGCTTGGTATTTATTTTAGCAGCCTGAACTAGATAAGCCCTTGGCCCACCCACACATGTCTATTCCCTTGGAATGTGTGTGTCCTTGTCCCCAAAGGCCACCTTTCCCCATCTTCAGCGTTCAAAAGCATCAGGAGGCTGGATGTCTGACCCAAGAGCTTCCATCCAGAGAATCTGCATTTCTTGCAAGTTCCCGGGTGACTGAGAACCTCCCTAGGTATCTCTGACCCATCCGTATGGCAGTACCCAAGGGTCGAGGGAGGCCAGCAGGCCCAGGGGTGCTCCTCACAAAGACTACTGGGAGTGGGGAGATGGTTTGCCCTTCACAACACTTCTCATATCATGTTTTATTCAAAAACGTGTTACATGTGTCGCCCATCGCCCTTTGCCCTGTTAAATTGCAGGTGGCAGGAGGTGAGGATGTCTCTGTCCTAAGTCCTTAGAGCTGTACCAGAGGACAGAAGATGTTTAGTAAATTACTTGATTGAATGAGTGAATATATGAGCCAGCCAGGCTGGGACAGCTAGGGGCTTCCCCAGTACCTGCACCCAGGAACCTTGACAGGTACTCAGCGACGTTGGGGTGAAGCTGGTACAAGTAGGCAGACACATGAAGAGTGATGGGGAAGCCCAAGAAGGGGGGCACTGCTGATACCGGCTGACCACCTTTGGGGGGCCCAAGAAGAGGGGTACTGTCGATACCAGCTGACCACCTTTGGGGGGCTTTCTTTATGTTAATCCTGGCTCCCTAGCATCTGACTAAATTGGAAAGAAGAGCTACCAGCACTGCCCCATGACTGCTGACCACTGCTGCGTCCCTGGCAGCGTTCAGGCCCTGCCTGCCTGTCATCCTCTGGATGGGGCACCCAGAGCCCATCTCCAGCCAACACTCCACTGGCTTTTCCCAGCCTCGTGACACCTGAAATTCTGACTACTATTATCCATGTTGCAAGTGCCCACTGCTGCAAAAAAAAAAAAAAAAAAGTAGAGATCCAGGGAGATAGACAGAAGCAGGCCAGTACTCTGGCTTCCAGCCCGGCTCTGGGGTGCCAGCTGGCCATCCATTGCTGTACCAGCTCTGGAGGACGATGCCCTTCCACCATCCCAGCTACAGCGCTGACTTCATTCCGTCTTGTGTTAGAAAGGTTTCTTAGCACTTTGTGGGTCTCCCTTCATGCCCTGGTCTGCTCTTTCTCACCGGGTCCTTGTGCTTTGCAGATGGTTCGATCACGGCCACCCGAGTGATTCTTGACTGATGTGCTTTTTATGTTGAAATTCAACCTTGAGTTAAAATGCCGTCACTTTGCTGGCCCCCCGCTTGTTAGACAGATCTGGCTCCATTTGCCTGTCACTGTGACCCCAAGAAGGAGACAGTGTTTTCCTTCACTAGAGAAGAGATGGGTATTTGGGAGGTATAGAGCCAGAGCGGGAAGGTCAGGTTCCAAATCTAGGTCTGAGTGTGGTCTGTTCTCTGCTGTGTCCATGTGCCACATTGTTTCTCCAGCTCTGCCTGGAATCTGTCTTGTAATAACTTGTAGCAAGAAGCTATCAGGCTGGATGTAATGGCAAGCATCTGTCATTCCAGCGCTTAAGAGGCTGATGCAAGAGCGTCACCCGGTTAGAGCCAGCCTGGTCCACAGAGCAAGGCCAGACCTCAGAACAATAAGAAAAAGAGTTTTGAGCCATTCATAAATTTTCTTTGCCTCAGTTTCCCCATCTGTAAAGTAGGGAAATAGTAGTATCTACCTGGGGAAGTTCGGGGTCAGAATTACATAAAACAGTGGTTGTGGCCCATGGTAAGAGGTCATAGCTTTGGCTGTGTCTCTCCTGGACCTCCAGCCTCCACAACATGTATGCATAGCTGGCAGCCGTGGGTGCTCAGCCCAGTGGCTGAATGGCAGTGTCTGCGTCCCTTCTCGCCCACACTCACTTCCCGTGCACAAACAGCATGCTCGGGAACAAGGCGATCTGTCCTTTTTGCCGGTGCCAGAGACAGCAGCTTGGCCCTGCTGATGTCTGAGGTGCTGAGCCCAACTGCTGTAGTCTGTTCTTGTGGAGAAGCAAGGCTGGAGCAGCAAGTGCCCCTGAAGCCAGCCAGCGGGCACAGCCCTGCCCTCCAGGGTCACTAAAGGGAAGCCACCCCCACCCCCTTAGCTTTGCCAGCCCAGGTGATGGGGGTGATGGTAACCAATGTCTAACGGTGGCCTTGATGCAGAGGACTGATCTCCTGGTCTTGAACAATGTACCAGAGCATCCTTCCTCTCTCCCTCCTTCCCTCCCTGCCTCCCTCCCTCCCTCCCTCCATCCCTCCTTCTCTCTCTCTCTCTCTCTCTCTCTCTCTCTCTCTCTCTCTCTCTCTC